TTTGGGGTGCGGGGGGGGTGAGGGGATCGGCTGAGGCGAGCCTGGGGGGGGCTGGCAGAGCTTCCCCTGGAAGCCTCTCTGGGGTGAGGTCTGGCTGCTGAGGAGTTGGGCACACTTCTGTCAAAATACTTGTGCCACCTGCCTTGCAAAAACGAAAAATTAAAAAAAAAACCACCCCAAAAATCACGCTAAACTTTCTCTCCTATATAGGAGTTCCGTCAACAAAGTCAATTACCATTTGCGATTAAAAAAAGCTCCAACCGTATTGGAGAAATGTATTCAATCTTTATTAGCTTTTATTCTGCCCTGGTTTTTTGGTTTGTTTTTTTTTTGTTGGTTTTGTTTGTTTGTTTCGGTTTGGTTTTTTTCCCTCTTTCTGTATTTTGTGGGGAGCAGAACTGGTTTGCATTTCACCTCGGCGTAAGAAATAAATATTTTACAGCGTTAACAATCATTCACTGGAGCAGCCTCCCCAGGGCCGTGGTGGAGTCCCCGTCACTGGAGGTTTTCAGGACAGGACTGGACAGGGTGCTGGATAACCTCCTCTGGGCCTTTCCCACCAAAGGTTGGGTGAGGTCCTCTTTTGGGGTCCCTTCCAGCCTGTTCTACGATTCCATGATTTTACCCATTTACACGTATTTATGTGCTTTCGAAGGTTGTTTTTACTTAAACCAGAGGGTTAACAAGAAGACAGAACCGGCGGGTGGATAAGCATTTCCATTTAACATACTTGGAAGGGGAGAGGGTGTAAATGGTTAGTTCTGCTTGAATAGAGTAGGTGGCAAAAGCATAAGATGATGCTGAGTTATCTTTCCACAAAGAAAATGGTGAAGCTGAATCTTACAGTTCTTTGGGGTTTGTAGCTTGTAAAAGTTTTTCAGGAGATAAATGACATGTAAAAAGAATTTAGAATAACCAAATATATTTGGCATAATAAAACTAATTTAAGATCTTTAAAAATAAAAAAAAAGTTTCTCATAGTGGGGGAAAAAAACAACACCAATAAAAAAAACCCTACACCAAAAGGCCTTTGGAAGTATTAAAGATTTTTATCAGAATGTGCATTTAGGTTTTCTTCTGTATTAACATAGTTGCTTTGCTTTTCTAATTTGTATTTCAGTTCTTTGTACGTTCAACGCCTCAAAACAATATGTGACACATTCTGTGGGCATTATTTAATGCCCGATACAGTAATATTGGTGTCACTTGGGTAGCTGTTTTTAAAACTACTGAATTGAGTCGGCAGATTGTGCTTGATAATCCCTGAACTGCTCAGTCCTGTAGTGCAACGTAGCGTTTTGCTGACTTAGAAGCCTGGATCTGCAGGTGGTACACCATGTTTGCGTGACTTTAGGTGTGGTCTTTTAGCTCATGTACTTAATATTTCTAATCTGGGACATGATACCCTCTCAATGGTGCTGTGTAATGCTTCCACACATGAAGCATGGCATGGCATTTCTGCGCTCTGTCCTCAGGATATTTGAGTCATTTAAGCCCTGGAGAACATGCTTCAGCTTTCTGCACCTGGATCTGATACAACTGAAAAGGTCATCACCCATCTTTAAATACAGTCTGAATGAGAAAACTGTGAACTCTTTGATGACTTTTTTTGATCATTTTAAGTTGAAAAAAGAGTTTACTGTGGGGAATAAGGATGTTTTCTATCTGCCTTTCATTTATAAAATATTCTCCAATGCTAGTGGTGATGATTTTAGAGACAATCAAAACTGTATGTTGAAACAAACATTCGTTGACTTTGTTTTGGTGAGGTGTTTTGCCAAATGAGAAACAAGAGTGGTGAGACACTGGAACAGGTTGCCCCGAGAAGCTGTGCGTGCTCCATCCCTGGTTGTGAACTCTTTGATGACTTTTTTTGATCATTTTAAGTTGAAAAAAGAGTTTACTGTGGGGAATAAGGATGTTTTCTATCTGCCTTTCATTTATAAAATATTCTCCAATGCTAGTGGTGATGATTTTAGAGACAATCAAAACTGTATGTTGAAACAAACATTCGTTGACTTTGTTTTGGTGAGGTGTTTTGCCAAATGAGAAACAAGAGTGGTGAGACACTGGAACAGGTTGCCCCGAGAAGCTGTGTGTGCTCCATCCCTGGTGGTGTTGAAGGCCAGGCTGGATGGGGCTTTGAGCAACCTGGTCTGGTGGGAGGTGTCCCTGCCCATGGCAGGGGGGTTGGAACTTTAAGGTCCCTTCCAACCTAAAGTGTTCTATGACTCTCTTCAATTCAGGCACGAGTGATTCAAGAGACTGAAAGCACCTTTAATTCACACAAACTTTTATCATCAACTTGGAGGGACAGGGGATTCCCAGTGTATTTAAAAACAGATTTGCAACTTGGTTGCACGGTAACGGGCCTTTAGAGTAAAAATATGTAGAAAGCACATAGCATCATAGAATGGCTACCCTTGAACTTGACATTCCCCACCACCCCCTCCTTGTTAGTAAGGACAAGGTCCAGCACGGCTCCTTTCCTCATTGGTTCCTTGATCATTTGAAGAAGAAAGTTACCATCAACGCATTCTAAGAACTTTCTGGGTTTCTTGTGTGGTGCCATGTTGTCCTTCCAACAGAGATCAGGGTGGTTGAAGTCCCCCATGAGGACCAAGTTGTGCGAGCGCGATGCTGCTCCTATCTGTCTATAGAGAGCCTCATCCTCCCTGTCACCCTGATCTGGTGGTCTGTGGCAGAACCCTACTGTAACATCACTTGCCCCTGTGGTCCCTTTAATCCTGACCCATAAGCTCTCCGTCAGGTCTTCATCCATCCCCAGGTGGAGCTCCACACACTCCAGCTGGTTGTTGACAAAGAGAGCAACACCCCCTCCCCATCTTCCCATCCTGTCCTTCCTGAAGAGTCTGTAACCCTCCATTCCAACACTCCAGTGATAAGAGCCATCCCACCAGGTCTGGGTAATGCCAATAAGGTCGTATCCCTGGAGGTGTGCGCACATCTCTAACTCCTCTTGCTTGTTCCCCATCCTGCCTGCATCTGTGTGAAGGCACTTCAGCTGGGTGCCCAGTGGGGCTGACTTACTGGCTGGAATGGCTCCATTTCCTTCGTGTTGCACTTCAGGTGGCCTTCCTTAGTGGTGTTTTGTCTGTGATTCAAGGATTCCCTTTGCCTCAGGAGCCTCAAGGACAGGTCTGATGTTATCACCCCCCTCCTTCTTCACATCTGGTTTAAAGACCTGTCAATCAGCCCCGCCATCTCTTGGGCCAGAAGAGCCTTGTCCTATTTGAGTGTTTGTGAGGACTAGGTCTAAGTTTGTTCTAAGCAACTGTTGCTGATGTCCATAATCTGGAGTTCCTGGTGCTAGTCGAGTATTACTTGGCTGTCTTCTCAAATAGCTGTCTTATAGGAGTAACTTCTTTTTGTGTGTGTGTGTGCCTGAGTGTGATGTGACAACTTGCTGACAAAAAGCCAATGAAGAAATGAGTTTCACGCTGTTCAAGATGCTTGAGTTTGGGATGTTTGGGTTTTTTTTTGTTTTTTATTTACTTCCCTGGGGTGAGAGCTAGCTTTGCAGAATAATCCATTTGCATGTTGTGTGCTGGTTCTAATCAGTACTTCTGTCATCAGTGTGAATCCCAGGAACTAATGTTTGGAGTGAGAGGTGACCTGTCACAGAAGTGACTCTGCTTGTGAAGTGCCTGTAATGTTCAGCGTCAAGAGTCAAATCCCACATGGTTTTGAGAGTCAAAAGCTGTACTTCACCTCTCTGCATAATATACACCTATTTTAATCAAAGAATCATAGAATGGTTTGGGTTGGAAGGGACCTCAAAGATCATCGAGTTCCAACCCCCCTGCCATGGGCAGGGACACCTCCCACTAGAGCAGGTTGCTCAAAGCCCCATCCAGCCTGGCCTTGGACGCTCCCAGGGATGGGGCATCCACAACTTCCCTGGGCAACCTGTTCCAGTGTCTCACCACCCTCATGGTAAAAAATTTCTTCCTGATATCTAATCTGAATCTTTTTTCTTCCAATTTAAAACCATTTCCCCTTGTCCTATCATTACCCTTCCTGTCAAAGAGTCCTTCTCCAGCTCTTCTATAGGCACCCTTCAGGTATTGAAAGGCCACTGTAAGGGCTCCCTGGAGCCTTCTCTTCTCCAGGCTGAATAATCCCAGCTCCCTCAGCCTGTCAATCTATAATGTTCTGTCAGAGCACAATAATACATGCGTTACCTCATGTCCATCCCATGTGGCACACCTATAGCCAGGAATATTTCTGCCATGACTGCTTTTGCATGGCTTTAAATCTTAAGAGGGCATCTGTATAGTTTGGTCAAGTGTTGCTTGTTACAGCTGTCTGCTACTTGCCACTTTCTTCGGAGACCCCTAAGGTTTTAGAAGCATGTGCTACACCTATTTGTATCTTATGCTGATAAAAACTCATGCTACTGCTTAAAAAAGCTGTTGTGTCTACTTAACTCTCAGCTTAACTAGTTGGTGTGTTTTACGTGACAGCTGTGAAACAGAACAAGGTACTGATCTGAATTAAAGCCAAGGCAGGCCCTTCTGCTCTTTTCCTCTGGCTTGGTGGGACAGTGTTCTGGCGGATGCACTGTGCTAATACTCATGCAGGTTTGAAGCCTATATCTGAACCACCCTTGTGCTTGCTAAATTCTGAGTAGTAGTCTAGTCAATTTAGCAAAACAGAGTTACTGTACTTAGCCATGTACTGAAGTTAATGGGCCCAGAGGAGAGCAACGAAGCTGGTGAGGGGTCTGGAGAGTAAGTCTTATGAGGAGAGGCTGAGGGAGCTGGGGTTGTTCAGCCTGGAGAAAAGGAGGCTGAGGGGAGACCTTATCGCTCTCTACAACTACCTGAAAGGAGGTTGTGGAGAGGTGGCGGTTGGTCTCTTCTCCCAAGTCACAGGCGATAGGACAAGAGGAAATGGCCTCAAGTTGTGCCAGGGGAGGTTCAGGTTGGATATTAGGAAAAATTATTTCACTGAAAGGGTTATCAGGCATTGGAATGGGCTGCCCAGGGAAGTAGTTGAGGCACCATCCCTGGAGGTGTTCAGAAGACAGCTTGACATGGTGCTGGGGGACATGGTTTAGTGATGGGGTTTTTTTGGCAGAGTTAGATTGGTGGTTGGACTAGACGATCCTGAAGGTCCCTTCCAACCTAGATGATTCTATGATTCTAAGTGGCTTTGGAAGACATACAGTCTTCTAGCAAATAGAAGAACTTCTCTCACTAATAAGGGGAGTATTGCAGATGCTCTTTCCAGGCCTGTGCATTGAATCATTGTGATTTTATTCTGTTGTGAAAAAGTTGCAAACTTTTCTCCCAGCGAGCATATATTATGATTTCCATTTGTATACCCAGTGATGCCCTTACCAAGGGACTACTTTATCCTTATTTCCATCGTGCAACGATACTTCCTGTGAGCCCTGTGCTGCCTAAGTCTCTTGTTCTATTGCTTTTGTGTGGGGTATGAATCAGAACAATTTCCTATGCTCAGTAACATCCTGTAACGTGATATTTCATGATACGTTACAATACTTCGAGCACGTTATCCCCACATAAGAGTTTTGACATACTGCATGTTTATTTCCACATTTCCAATACTGTGGTGTTTCCTCAAATCCAGCAGACCTCAGTACAAAAACGCTGAGAATTGTAGGAAGGTCGTTTGATTATGGAGGATCACCTGTGCCCTAAACTTCATGTTTAAGGCATTTTAAAGTCCTGTTTCCTTCTCAGTAAGAGACAGGCTCCCTATATTTGATAGAATTGGCAGATTCTTTGTACTTCAAGATCTGATGTTTAAGCTTTGTGGACGACCGAGCAACAGGTAAACAGTCGTTCCAGTTAGGATATTTTCTTCTCAAATATCTCTTAATTGTCAGAGTTTGGCACTGTATTTTTGTGGGGACTTCTGAGGTGCCATTTCATGGTTTTCGATGTGTCTTTACAGGAACTGACAACAGCTTTGGAGAAGAATCCAGATGATGCCGAATGTTACTGTCAACGAGCTTATGCTCATATCCTTCTACAGAAATATGCTGGTAACATCTTCAGACAACACTGAGAATCCTTTTACAAGTGTATTATGACACATTCTTTACAGAAGATATCTTCAGTCTGCAGCCAAATATAGTAATAACAAAAAGTGTTATTTGTAACTTAATATGCTGACTCTACAGTTAGGGCATAATTTTACAATTTTCTTTGCTTGTCCTGTTTCTGCAAAATTGCAATGAGTTGGGTTCTCTGCAGTCCCAGCTTTCCGTTTGATTTTAGCCTAGCGTTATCTTGGCAACCTTTTTTTTTTTTTTTTTTTTT